TATTCTGACAGAAATCTTTACAGTTTGGAAATATCCTAAAATACTTGGATATATAAACAGAAATGTTTACAGTTTGGAAATATCCTAAAATACTTGGATATATAAACAGAAATGTTTACAGTTTGGAAATATCCTAAAATACTTGGATATATAAACAGAAATGCTTACAGTTTGGAAATATCCTAAAATACTTGGATATATAAACAGAAATGCTTAGTTTGGAAATATCCTAAAATACTTGGATATATAAACAGAAATGCTAACAGTTTGGAAATATCCTAAAATACTTGGATATATAAACAGAAATGGTAACAGTTTTGAAAAAAATTCTAAAGTACAAGTTTGGATATAAAAACAAGAAATCTTTATAGTTTATAATATCCAAAAATATATGCTCTATAATAAATATCCCAAAAGGAAAGGTGTCAATTCTAAAAAGTTTCGTATTAGGAAAAATGTCACTTATAAAGTTGGTGCCACTCCCCTTTGTCCTGATAAGGAAACAGTCTCTTTAAACACCTTAATCTAGCTGCACACGTTTATCTCTATAAAAAAAAAATCATTAACATGCCTGGTATGCAGCACCATGGGCTTTAAACTTTTTATCTACTATATAAGATATGAGTAATAAGCTGAAGGATGAGGAAGGGAGAGAGTTACACCATTGAACCCCACAAATTGAATTCCGAACCGGCAAAAAGTATTTCAAGCCCCACATATCCTCAACGTAGCACTGATACGATGTTGTGTTCATGAACAAAAATTTTGTGGGGCTCATGACCGTATTTCCCTTCTCCCCTCGCGTCGTAAGAAAAGGCCATCTATCGGTTATAATTAACTGAACAAAAATAAATTCCTTTGCTTTTTCTCTGACTTTAAACCTTTATTACGACAAGCATATAACAAACCTCATCTTAATCCCGAATATATAAAAACCCTTAATAAAACCATGAGTAAAAGATCTGGTAAGAAACGATGTTCAAAAAGAAGTTTAAAATCTGAATACATAACCCTGAAACCCCAGATGATGTTTTAAGTGGCAGGGGCAGATTTCTATTAAAACTTAATGGTGGCTGTATGAAAGGAGTTAATAAATAAAACTCGAACATAAAGGTTGGGTGAGTTGGGGGGAGGGGGGGGGGTCTATTCCTTACACATTTATTTTCTTTCAACACGCATTTCAATCTCTTTTTACCAATTTCAATATTACATATGTTCTTTACACTCGTATAACAATGAGATGTAAATTTTGAATCCTTATTCAGTCTCATCGATCTGTTAAATCCAGGTATAGTCTCAAGCCATATTCAACTGCTCAGTTTGTAACTTAAGACAACATAAACTCTGGTTCTCAATGGTGATCAATTTCATGTTTTCCGGGTATCCTTCAATCATTGTTTTATTTTCACGGATTAACAGATTCATTTCTTGCACAGTTTAATCTTTTATCTATACAATCATCCAAGGATAGACAAATTAAGAGTTCTAAGCAAAAATATTTTTTTATACTTTGGAAGTTTTGATTTTATTTTCATATTTCTTGGATTATATTCCTTTTTTACAATCCTTGGATTATATTCCTTTCTTTACAATCCTTGGATTATATTCCTTTCTTTACAATCCTTGGATTATATTCCTTTCTTTACAATCCTTGGATTATATTCCTTTCTTTANTATATTGAAATGTATATATGCACATATTTAGACTCGAACGTATTTGGCAAGTCTGTGGGCTCGAGTTGGGGAAACTATTAGGTTTCATGTCAGATTCACAAAGGAACCAAATTTCATGTTTTTATATAGTTTTTCTTTGATAAAAATATAGTAATAATAATAATAATAATAATAATAATAATAATAATAATAATAATAGTAATAATATAATATAATAAATATACGATTATAAATATTTATTACATATTAAGAACGACTTAAAATAAAGCTTACTTGGGGTCATTTATGTTACCACAAAAATATCGAGCTTAACTGGTTCAGGCGTATTGTCGTGTATTGGCACTATAGAGACAAGCAAACAGATATATATATATATATAAATATATTCTAAACATGAGTAATATCTCAACTATGGTTAAATGCCTAGCTACGAATGTTTAGAAGATAGTGATTAAGCGATAAGGTATATGGATATATTCTATAGGGTATAATTATACAGCCAACTTCCATCTTTATTCTGAATATATGTTTTTAGATGCTTAAATATTGGTATACTGTAAACTGTAATATACTATATATAATAATTTTGTACAATTATGTTTTTATCTTCTATAAAAACCTGAAAAAGAACAAACAAACATTTTTTTAGCTATTACCGAAAAACGCGGCTGCTATAGTTTATTTGTTAATAATAAGGCACGAACCGTAAAAGAATTAAAAATCTTGCTTTCTAACGTACTTTTAGAGAGAGATGTATTTTTTAGAAAATATTTCTTTTGCAAGAAAAACTTTGAATGTATGATAACACTTAATGACTAGATCTTTATTTTGGGGCACTCTTTATTTCTTTGTTTTGCTGCATACTAAATCTAAGTTTAATACTAGGGATAAATATCATGTTTTGACTAGGGATGGAGATCAGTTTATAATTCATTTTGAAAATAATAAAGATTTTTTTTACTTCTTCAGATTTTGACATAAATAGTTTTTTTTAAATATACAAGATTACTTTATTACATGTGGCAAAGACATTAATCGAAATGATTGTTCAAAAATGATTTACCGCAGTAAGTTTCGAAAAAATGTTTTTGCAGAGATAGGAAAAAAATCTTAGAGCGTTGTGTAGCATCTTAAAAGTAAAAAAACCTTGAATGCTGAGAAACTGAACTGAAAACGATGCCCATATCTAAGCTGCATGGTTTTATGTCTGATTCCAGAATATCTTGACTGTTTTTGTATTCATGAATCCTTCAGAGATGAATATGTTCCAGTCAAATTAATTACACCATATCTTTTAGCTTTAGCCATACTTCAGACCAGGGTTGTATACAGAAATTCGTTCAGGGGGGGGGGCAAGGGGGAATCTTATTGCCTCTGCTTCAGACTATTCATCTATCTTCTATATAATAAAACATGACATTCGTATATTTGTTCCCTAAAGCCGGCCAAACGACTGGACCGAATGGGCTGAACTTTTTGAGGGAACCCAGGGGTATCCCTGGGATAACATAGGCTAAAAAATTCAAATTAAAAAAATATATTTTTTCTTTTCAAGATTTTTTTTAAAAATTCCACTGGGAAAGTCGGGCACTTCAGCCAGTATATTTACAAATTAGGAGATCATTATCTAACTTTGATCTAATATCATATCCATCAACGCGGCTAGACATTTGGGGAGTGAACTATTTCGTTGCCGTATCATGACTTTTAAAGAATGATTTTTGTTCAATTTGAAAATAAAGGATGAGTCTTTACAAAAAATGTCGATTCAAATCTCAATTCGGACATACTTGAAGGATCAAGCACTAAATTTAGTTTAAGTAGGCCTAGGTTCAAAGGTTTTCATCTAAACTGCCTGAAAGTCTTCTCATTACACTTGTACACAAACAGCACAGATCAAAATGATAAGAAAAAGTAGAAAATCTAGAATTATTTTATGAGAAACTTTAAGAGTGTAAACTGCAAACTTCATTTAACGTTTCTACCTAAATTATAATTTTACATAACGAAATATTTAAAAAAAATATGAATTAGCTCCCAAATTCAAAAGTTAACACCTTTGTATAATCTTTGACATGCTTTTTTCCAGAAAATCAAAACTGTTTTTGATTAATATTACTGCGTGTAAAAAATTAGCATTGTTAAAAGAGCTTGCATTGAGTTTGCAAATATGCAAAATATTAAAATTGTCATTATGGTAGCTTCGCGAACAATCAAAATTATTCATTCGGTGGTTTACGATAATATGGCAGATGTGAAGGGTTGCAAGGTTTTCTTACACATGCAAAATTTGAAAATAGAAAGTTTTTTTTCCTTCACTTATAAAAAATATTTGGAAAATGATTTAGAAGATCGGAGTCAAGTTGAATGAAGTAAAACTGGCAGAAATTATATATAGTTGATTTTTTAGGGAAAAGAAAGGGGGGGGGGATTTTATGATAATCCCGTCATTCCTCTTTTTTCCTAGTTTTCTTATTTTCAACTTCTTAAAAAATTAGATAAGAAGGATAGTATGATAAGATTGTTGAAAATTCGGTTTCAAATCTTGTTTCAGCAATAAATCAGAAATATGTGTTTTTGGTTTCTTTAAGGTACAGTAGACCTGTTTTCAAGAGATTCCTCATTTATAGATTGACATGTTCGATTCACATCGACATCGCTACCCTTTAAAGCTTTGTCTGATCTCAAATGCAGATATCCATCATTATCGCTTTTGAATTTGATATCTTTCACTTGATTCAGATACAAGTTTTACGGGTGTCGGGTACCGTAATGAATCGGACGTGTACCTCTTTTAAAATATAATTCCTCGAAATTACTTGTACAGTCCCTTTAACATCGTGTGCAAAATATGTAAGTTTTCAAGGAGGCGTGATCTATAAATTCAGACAGACAAACGATCAGGAAAGTTCTCGAGTCATCAATCTGACAAGTTTGGATAAAATTTGTATTTGTTTAAATACAAATATGGGCATAATCCTCCCACAGTCCACACGGATTTACAATACCAAGAGCTTAATCTTATTCAAGCGGAAATATTGAAAGGACAGGAAAAACCTCCACTCAGGGGCGTATACAGGATTTTGTCGGGGGTAGGGGGGTTCAACCTTTTCTTACTTTCCAGTTTAAAGGGAGAAACGGCGGAAACCCCTGGGAAATTTCGTTTTCACTTATCAAGAGGGGGGCTCAGACTTATAGGCCCCCGTATACACCCCTGCCTTAAATCTTATGGTTGGGTTTGGATTCAAAACAAAGAACTCTAAATCCCCGGAAACTTGTAAGTCGTCTTCCATTCAATCAAGCAATATACAATTATTACTTTTTAGGCATGTATGTCCATCAGCTTGCTGGTAACAAGCAGTACACCTATATCAGTAACAAGGCCACGTGCGTCAAGAAGACAATATGGCGGCCCTGCGCCCACCAGCTATGACACACCAATCCTTCCTTCATCAAACTCTTTTACAAGTATTCAAGCAGGTAGATTTAGAACCATGCACTCGATACAAATAAATCAAAGTTTAGATTGAGTACGATTTAACTTTAAGACAAAAAATCACAAAAAAATTCAATTTATATACCTAAAATTGTTGGACGTGAGGAAAATTAAAAACATTTGTTTTGGTTCCGAAAAAGTTGGTTTGGGTTGTCAAAATAAAATGGTCGCAATTTTTACAATAAATATTTGGACCCCCTGTGCAAATTTATGATTGTTTTTACAAGCCTCCTTGCAAAATGCAAGAAGTTTTATGTGTATGCGAATTATACGTACGATAGTACACACTACACATAGTATAGGCAATCTTTCCAGCATCAAGTTTCTTCTAAAAAAGGCGGGATGAAAAGTAGGAAGTTTCAGAAAAGGCGGGATGAAAAGTAGGAATTTTCAGAAAAGGCGGAATGAAAAGTAGGAAGTTTCAGAAAAGGCGGAATGAAAAGTAGGAAGTTTCAGAAAAGGCGGGATGAAAAGTAGGAAGTTTCAGTAAAGGCGGAATGAAAAGTAGGAAGTTTCAGAAAAGGCGGGATGAAAAGTAGGAAGTTTCAGAAAAGGCGGGATGAAACGTCAAAATGGATTCTCAGTAGTAACTTGTAAATTCCAGATTCCTGAAATATGCGAAATTAACTATAGTTAGGAATTTAAACTAGGAATAGAAAATAAAAATCCCTGAAACCATGCAAATAAATATTCTAAACACATGGTTGCCCACAAAGAATGAGCCTTTAGAGAAATTACTCAGTTTTAAAGGGACTGCCGACGATATTTCATGTGACACCCAAAATCAAAGCGTTACATTCCCGATTTACAACGGTATCCATGAATGATGAAATTTAAAAAGAACCATTGTAGGATCACTTGATGATATGTCGGTTAACGAAAGTTTTATATTCATGATTGACAGCAGCTATAAATGTTTTAACTTTTAAATAATATTCAATAATTAATATCAAAATTATACTATCATGGTGATTTAAGAATAGTCTCATCTTCTGCAGGTAACGGTGTAGTGGTGTATTTTAGGGGTTTCTTAAAAAATCTATTTAAGAAAACGTTATATTTATTATTTGGAAATTTCGTTGTCTATAAAGCAGATATTTTAGAAAATTTTAATCAATGATTTGATAAATCTTTCTTTTATTATATCAGCTTATATTTATTTAATGATATTAAAAACAAAATGGAGAATCATCGAAATATCCTTCATTAAATATTACTTATCATCTCTGTAATCAATGCTGGCTTTACAATGTTTAATTGCAAAGAATGTATTTAAAAACGTGAGGTTTAAAAATATAGAAAGTTGTTGAAAAAGTATACAAAAAGTAAATGAAAAAGTACTCAAAATTAATTGTTTTTGGTTTTATTAGGTATTGGGAATTTTGATTTCCCTAGCGCTCTTTTTGTGTGAAAACAGTCTTACTCTTAGCAAAAATGGATAACAATCTACTGAATAGTAAGATTTATGAAAGCTGCGTAAATTGTTTATATCAATTTTTTTCAGGAGATTCCTATGGTTCACCCGGAGCTGTTCTAGGTATATTGGAATTTATAAAGTGGCTCTAAAATATTGTGGATTATTGTTGAAATGTTTTTACCAAATCGATTATTTAGTAGGTGGCAACAGAGAAATGGACCAATTATATACGACGTCACAAGTGTCAAATATAATAAGGAAAATGAAATTTTCTTACATTAGTTGACATGTTTTCCAAGATTGATTTAAAAAGTGTAAAAACAGAAATAAAGAACACATAACACTGCACTTAGTTTGCTGTAAGATAAGCACTTTATTCTAAAATTATCACTATTTTTAATAATTTTGTCGGACACAAAAACTGAATTGACACTTGTGACGTCAGAATACAGCTGTACTGAGAGTGTACAAACTCTTCGTTGCCATCTATTGTACTAAAATCTATTTGGGTTTTACTAACATTGTTTAATAAATGGGCACTGACAATAAACAGCACTGAAGCATATTTCCTTACTTCAAAGTAACCTTTTTCAGAAAATAAACTTTTTGTGATTTTTAATTGAATAATGTCGGACCCCTAAGTGAATGAATTATAGCAATCATGGCAATTTTTGATTTATTTGATCTTTTTAAATGATTGATTTAAAAAACGATTAATCATTTAGGAACACCCTCCTCCGTACTGGCACTACCAACCTATGGGGCGAGTAATGACTGTACAGTAGAGCGCAGTACGATAGATACAGGTACACTACAGTAGATACAGGTACAGTACAGTACGGTACAGACGGTACAGTACAATATATAGTTGTTTATATCTAATTGTGACATGGTAACCGCCAAGAATTTTTTTCTAAAAAAGTCCCAGGAATGCAAAACCCAGGACTTTATTTTCAGTGACATTTTGTCTTTTGGGACTTTCCAAAGTTTTTATTTCCAAGTTTTTTTGTCCCATGACTTTCTTTCATAAATTTGTGAAATATTAGGACTTTATTAAACTGGTTTACTGTTAACAAGTAAAATTACAATTTTCAAGCTCGGACTTCCTATAACCATGCACAGATAAAGCCAGTTTCTAGAAGTTGTAAAACGTCATTGTAAAATATATCAATTTAACAAATCATTTTGGGTTTGTATTGGCAAAAGTAATATTTTCACATCAGCAAATTTGGGCTAAATTGATTTTTCTAGGGGACTGTTTCTATAATTTAGTTTATGTTTACTAGGGGACTGTTCATATAATTCAGTTAATGTTTACTGGGGGACTGTTTATATAATTCAGAGTCATTGTAAAATATATCAATTTAACAAATCATTTTGGGTTTGTATTGGCAAAAGTAATATTTTCACATCAGCAAATTTGGGCTAAATTGATTTTACTAGGGGACTGTTTATATAATTCAGTTTATGTTTACTGGGGGACTGTTTATATCATTCAGTTTATGTTTCTTGGGGAACTGTTTATATAATTCAGTTTATGTTTACTAGGGGACTGTTTATATAATTCAGTTTATGTTTACTAGGGGTCTGTTTATATAATTCAGTTTATGTTTATTAGGGAACTGTTTATATAATTCAGTTTATGTTTACTGGGGGACTGTTTATATAATTCAGTTTATGTTTACTAGGGGACTGTTTATATAATTCAGTTTATGTTTACAGGGGGACTGTTTATATAATTCAGTCTATGTTTACTAGGGGACTGTTTATATAATTCAGTTTATGTTTACTAGGGGACTGTTTCTATAATTCAGTTTATGTTTACTAGGGGACTGCTCATATAATTCAGTTAATGTTTACTAGGGGACTGTTTATATAATTCAGTTTATGTTTACTTGGGGACTGTTTATATAATTCAGTTTATGTTTACTAGGGGAATGTTTATATAATTCAGTTTATGTTTACTAGGGGATTGTGCACAAGGAGGGCAGGAATGTACAAATCAGTGTGCAACTGTACAAGAGCAGGAACACAAACAATAATAATAATATCACGGTATAACAAACTCCTTCCGCACTTCCGGTTTTTTTTTCTTGCTCTGTTCTCTGGGCAAGGGCCTTTCGGATTCGTTTTTTTACTTTTTAGAAATTTCCCAAGAATCTTTGATATTTATCTAAACATTTAAAAAAATACATTGAAACAACTTTTTTGTTTTGTAAATGTATCACACTCCTGTACGTGTGTATTTTTAGCAATAAACTATATCTTATCTTATATTAAACCAGATTAAATATTTTCACTAAAAATATAATGTTGTATTATGATAATATCCCTGATTCTTGTTGGGCCTCTGAAAGTGACTGTAAGTGCAATTTCAATTGTGATTATAAATCTAAATCACTGCAATAAATAAATAAAACTAAATCACAATGTTACCCTTGAAAGCTATGCCTGAATATAGAGATATCCATGTTTTTTTTAAATTGATCATTTTGAATTGTGGTTTGTATAAAAAAAGTGATTAATGAATATATCCTTTAAAGTGACTAATGAATATCTCCTTTAAAAACAATGAATGACATTGTGAGAATTGATTACTTTTACGGCTAGAGGCTCGACGATATATGCTTCCATATTATTGATCAGATAATGTTTAAAAGTGTAATTCAGGGTTGTCCCTCTCTTGCATGTCCCCTGTAGGTTAAGAAGCTGAACAGATCCTTGAACTAAAGTTGAGTTGTCACATTAATAACAGAATAATACTGGCTCAGCCACCTTACATTGCAATTTTAAATTACAGGACATTCTGACTTTTGTTTAAACTGATACTTTCTTTTTCTTTCTAAATACATTTTTTTCAATCATAAAGCCAATTGAGAAAATCAAATATTTTTTTGAATTTATAATATGTAATCAAAATATTTGCTTTTCTTATTATAACTAAAGGAGCGCTATGAGATTTCAAAGCCAACCGGTAAAATTGCACCTAAAACATAAGTGCAACCACTGTATTTGTTCAGAATACCCTCGGAACATAAAGTTTTTTTTTACCAAGATACTGATTTGTGAAATATTACCGGATATTGAATCGCAAACCACATTTTCATCATTCTGATGCATGTTTATTTTGTTTCTAAATCATGTTTCTGTAGTTTGTAAAGTTGAATTCCTGCCACATATTTAATATTTTGGGGTTAAGGTTTAATAAAGCATAAAGGATTCAATGCAAAGAATACAAAGCAGTATTATATGGTCCTAGATGTATGAAGTTTGAATGCGATGCCACGTTTTTCTTTCTTCAAAAATATAATTTTGCAAAGATTTTACAGTTTGCAATTTACATATGCAATGCTCAACATTTTTGCATGATGTTGTTTACTTAACGCTCTCAAGGTTTTAATGTTAAACATTGTCATTTTTGTAAACATTGTTGAAAGTTTTTAATTCTCTTTTGGAACTTCTTACGCAGTTTGTTCATTTATCACATGGTCATGATTTTTTATTCTGAAAAGTCGCCAATACCATAACCCGTTGTTCAAACAATTTTTAATTTTGATTATGAATAATGAATATTTATTATCTTTTTAGAATTTTTTATTTTAAAATGTTTTTTTGTCATTTAAACTTCCGGTTCTGAATAAATAAATATTGTTGTTTATTGCTAAAACAGGACTGTTCTGGGTCTTCAGCAACACCCTCGTGTACAACTGTTAATGAAGAAAAATGTGAAACAAGATACGAAACCGTTTTTGAACAAGTTTGTTCACCGTCTGCTGCTCCTCAATGCACAACAGTCAACGAACAGCAGTGCACGACCGTTAACGAACAAGAATGTAAAACGGTGAATGAACAGCAGTGTTCAACAACCTATGCAACAGCAACCGAAAACGAGTGTAGAACAGTAAACGAGGAAAAGTGTGAGACCGAATATATGACTAAATACGAAGAGCAGTGTTCAACAGTCACCGAACAGCAGTGCAGTACTGTGAATGAACAGCAATGTTCAACAGTTAATGAACAGCAGTGCAACACTGTGTATGACACAGTGAGTGAAACTGAATGCGGAAGTACAAGTGAAAAAAAGTGCGAAACTAAATATGAACAGAAATGCGAACAGGTTTTTGAACAGCAATGCCAGCAGGTTTCTGAACAGCAGTGCCAAACTGTTAACGAACAGGCCTGTAAAACTGTGTACAGCCAGGAATGCAGTACAGTACAAGAACAGCAGTGTTCTACAGTTACCGACCAAGCATGCCAGGTAGATTAATACATGCTTATTTTAAAGGGACTGTAGGCATAATTGATTATCATTTTATAGAGTGGCAGTGTTTAATTCACTTGCACTTAACAGGCATAATATATCCTTATCTTTATTTTTGAAAGACGACGGAATTTGTCAGGATTCAACACTTTTTAAGATGAAAACGACGATATCTTTCGAATTGTTACTAAGATTGCAGGGGTTTAAAGGATACCCTTGTGAATCGAACATGTAATGCTTTGAATTAATTACGGCTTGAGTCCCTTTAAGATATTTTCAAACAAATTTTAATGACTGCCTTTTCATTATGAGAGTGCTACAAATCAATTCCTATATTACCAAAAATACCATGAGTTGGTTTACAACTAACGTTTTTTTCAACATTGATCTGTCATAAACTGACCCTTTAGAAACTTGACATGAAGTTAACAATTTAATTAGAACAAAATTAAATATTAGTTTGTTCTCTGAACATCCTAATCTAACCATTATATATATTTGTTATTATTTCCTGATTGGGTTGATGGGTTGTGTTTATTGTGTTTATTACTGGTAATGACTAGGACGGATATATTAATGAGGATGAAATTGTTATTGATGATGATGCCCTAAACAAAAGCATTAAATCGATGGATCGATCATATCTAATCCTTTCTTACCGTAGACGGTGTCTGAAGAGGTGTGTGAGGATGTAAATGAGGAGGTTTGTGATACTGTAAACGAACAAGTTTGTGAAACCATAGAGGAGAAGAGTTGTCAACCGACCTACAAACAGGAGTGCAGTACAGTACAGGATTTACAGGTAAACTCATAGTATTCTGTCCACTGTACAATGTACAGTATACAATGTACACACAGTGCATTAAAGTACAGTATTTACAAATAAACTTAGTTATTATGTACAGTGTACAATGTAGTATGTCCAATGTACAATGTACAAACAGGAGTGCAGTACATTACTGGATTTAGTGGAGAACTTATTGATTTGTACACCGTACATTGTACAGTTTTCAAGCAGAAATACAGTAAATTAAAGGATTTACAGTGTACAGTGTAGTGTACAATTAGGGTTACAGTACAGCAGCAGGGTTTATAGATGATTTCCATGTTTAACTACAATGCTCTTTGTATAGCTGGGCAGTACAGTCATCTATCTATCTATTTATCTTTCAATCTGTACAGTGTGAGAGTGTACCTGAGGAGAAGTGTACTACTGTACAAGAGGAGGAATGTGAGGATGTTGAAGAAGAAGATTGCTCGGTAACAATTTTTAAATTTTTTTTTTTTAAATTTGGTACAATGTACAACATTAACTAAGGTATTGTACTGCAGGAGGGTGAGACTGTTTGTGATACTGTTGATACAGAGGAGTGCTTTACAAAGTACGAAGAAGAATGTGAAACCGTGTACAAGGAACGTTGTTCAACTGAATATGAACTAGTGTGTACAACAGGTACAATAATACATTAAGAATATATAAAATATTGTGAAAAGTAATGTATTTTCAAAATTAAATAAAAAAAACGCACAAAAGTTTAAATTTGCACATTAATAATTTGATTATATTTTACATTAGTGTATAATTTATTCAAAACAAATGTGTGTGCATTAATTAATAAAATGAGATGCATAATTAGTTTAACAAACCCTCGCTATAATTACTCTGCACATTTTAAAGCTAAGGAATTGATTTCGTTTTAATTGACATTTAGTTTGCATTCATGCATAGCTAACTCAGTTTTACACTAGGTCTTTCTATAATTCTTAAAGCTTGCAAAGGCATTTTTTCAACTTTCGAATTAGGATGCGAATGATAATAATAATAATAATAAAAATGATAATGATAATAAAGTATACTGAGAACTGCCAGCCTGCCTATGGTCCAGGGTTTACTGAAGGGGAAGGGGAGGGGGAGGTGGAACAAGATTGCCAAACCATACCTGTAAATAACTGCAGGTTTGTTTACATTCAAGCCCGAAAAATTTTTCTTAAAAAAATTAAATGCCCAAAGGAACTGATAACTTGCTGTAAATTATAATTTGGTTATCCCTATATCTTTGCAACCTGTTGTCGTTAGATCAAATTTTTAAAGTCGGAAATATTAAAGGTTGCAAAATCAGGTTGCAAGGATATGAGAAATGCAAAATTGAAGTACGAGGCAAGTGTTCAGTTCCTTTATTTCAGTGACAATGCAGTTGCAAACAGAATCCGAATATATTTACCAACATAGTGTTAATTTTACTTATCAAACATTTCTGATTTATTTTAGAAATGTACCAAAACCAAATTGTCGACAAATCGCTGATGAGCAGTGTCGACAAGTACCCAAGAAGGAATGTGGTCGTGTGCCTGTTCAAAACTGTCGTCAGGTCAGTTTTTTTTCTTAAGGGATTTCGGGAAAACGACTAGTTTGTTAATCGATTATGCCCGTTAAAAAAATTGATAAAACTTTGCAGATTTCAAAACTGTATTCTGTCAAAGTTTGCTTTTATTAAACCTTGTAATATATTTACCCTAATAAAAATGGAAAAACGATCCAAAAACGATTAAAAAACGATTCGAAAACGATCCAAAAACGATCGTTATGACACGTTGGCGTTTAATCGTTTTTTGAATGCATCTTCTGTTAAGGTCAAAATTTTACATAGTGTTATAAAAGTAATAAACAATTTTACATAGTTGTTTTTCTTCACTATGCCAAATATTAACAGTGAAAGAAAATTAGGGCCAAAAACTATCAAAAAGCGAACCAACTGAATGCACATCACTACAAGAAGCTTTTCTTTAAAATTTCGAATTTAAAATTGTTTATTTGGAAACGTTTCCCATCCCTTAAATATGTATAAAGGCATTTCACAATAAGCACATGCGCACAACTTCATGTTATAAGCAACTACAGACTCAATATTTTAAATAATTTGAGAAATAAAATTAGATATTTAATCCCCTGTGAAGTTTTCTCCGTTTTTTTATCTGTTTTCATACGATAATGAATAATTTTGGACATATTTATCAACTATCTATAACAAATGTATATAATGTATATAAAAGCTCAATTTTCTCATAAAGCTCATTAATAGTTTTTTTCTTTTCATCTTCCCCCCCCCCCGCCTCCCTGTTCTCTAATGTTACCCCCCTGTTCCTCTCTGTTCCCTCTCAAAAACCATTAAACATATTACTGTCGAATCCGGAACTTAAAAGCCCCCTTAAATTCCTTAAATATACACATGTATGCTAATCAAAATTGAAAATTGAACATTTATGACGAGTTGAAAGAACCTTAAGACCTAAAAGACCTTGAATTCCCCGGCTTTAAGGCCAATAAAGTATCTTTAATATCGTTAGTTTGTGTGGCTTGATGAGGGTACTTATAGGGTTGTTAAATTGTTAATAGTGTATTGTTTCATTCTTCCCTTGGTTCTTTACCGATTTCGATATTGTTCCTTGATTAAATATAATATGTAAAAATAAATATTTAGAACAAAAGAAACCCATCCTTCATCCTTATTTCCTGACACAGTGCATACAGTTTACAGGGTGTCCCAATAAACATGAGAATTAAGAGACGAATTAAAATCGTCTTTGATATGAATTAGCATTTCACATATTTAAGATTCGTCTCCTAAAATTTATCTTCTGTGAACGGTTATTCTGCAAAACGTTGTATGATGTTCTGCAACATTTCTGCAAGATAAATAGTGAAGAAGAACAGCTACTGTGTTGGTCAACGAGAATTTCTCATTTCATTTAAGTACAAATATATGCATTAAAAAAATAAACAGAAAAATTCTTTTACATCTAGCAGACGAAACAGCAAGTGACCATACTAAATCAAAAAATCATTTACAAAGACGATTAAAAAATTGTCACTGTCCCATGCCATGTTTTATTGGGATTTGGGACACCCTGTAAACTCCCGAGGGTATACAAACGTGACAGTACATATAATGAGTTGAAAGATGATGATGATTGGTATAGTGTATAACAGTGTATAGATATGAAATTAAATAACACTTTTTAGAATGAAATTGTACCAGCATTAGAGGCCATGTTGCAGTCCGACCTGTTCGGCATGTGGGAAAATAAGAAAATCATGTTAAAAACTATGAACAATATGTTATGGATTTCTCTAAAACGAACAAAATGATATGACTTTTCTACCAGTTGGAGCAAATTTGATCTTAAATTGCCAAATTTGATCAAATAAAGAAAGGAAAACACCTTAAAATTATAAAGCATGCATGATCTCATCTTTTTGACAATTACTTGATTTCCTAAAATGAATGTGGTAGACAAAAATATGGTCCCAAGGCCGAAAGTTTGTAAAAAGTTGAATGAATGAGAGAATATGGTTCCGACAAACGGATCTATGCTCAGGATTATGCGATTTTTATAGATCTGTAGTCTGTGCACGGTTGTTTAAACAAGGATATTTGCATAACAGACACACACATAGATCTACAGACAGACACACAGACATCCTTTCTTACTTGTTGACCCCCGTGTGAAGTTTATTATAATGTTATAAGTAGTTTACTCATGGTAGAAATACGGATGCAAGGCCTCGACGAATAAAATATTTTTGAAGCAAACATTTTTATAAAACTGACACAATTTCTAGCATACCTTTGATATTAAGCCTTTCGCCAATCCCCAAAAAATGTACCAGCGGTAACGGATAACTAAACATTTTTTTAAACTCTGTAAAATTCTCACATAGATCCAGACTGCTAAAAAAAGTGGCATCAATTTTAAGGATGGATTTTTAAAAAGTGAGATAAAATAATTTCACAGTTTTATTGTTTCCAGTGTATACCTAGACATCCTGTAAGTAGTAAAATTTGAAACAACTCAATTGGTCTGAAATATATTTGTTTCAACTTTGATCTCAAACCCTGGAAACATATGGTTATATTCAACCTTGCTCAAGAGCATGATTTGCAACCAGGTTGAAAACCATAATTTCATCTTTTTATTCTAGACGGAAGCAGGCTGCAGTACAGTAACAAAACCTGTTTGTAAACAAGTAGATAGGTAAACAATGCTTTTTATGTCTTTTTTATAAATTAATTATTTTCGAAGTTTATTTATGTCGAAAAAGTCTACATGTAATCGTAATACTAATTTCAAGTGACCTTTTTTTACAAAGTGGACTGTCCGATTTACAACCGTATCGATGTTATCCCTCTGAAAGTTAAAAATTCTGAAAATGTCATTTTTTCTTTTCACTTTTATTGAGAAAACTCAATAAGAATAATCAATTTTAAGGTAGATACTGAATAAGGATATTTCCTTCATGCTTGATCAGACAAAAGATTTAAAGTGTACCGTTGTGAAACGGACATGCCACTCTGCACAAGAATCATATAACTGACTACAACGACATAGATATATTCAATCTTTATCGACACATTTAAGCCATATTTTGATTTCTTATTCAATATCATACGGAAATAGCGTATACAAACTTTAATCACTTAAAGGTTGTTGAGACCCATGAGAGTTCTATCTCATTATCCTGTATCGAGAAATTGATATAAACTGTGTCAAATTTATACGAAAATCTATATTTATATATATAATGTTTTATAAAAATAGTAGGTTTAAAACGTATCAATTCAGCAAAAACACAACCATTTGAAAACAACGATATACCAGAGGAGCCTAAGAAACTTAGGTTGGCTCCTATTATTATTTGAATTTAATAATTTTTTCATTTTTAATAGATATAATTGATAATACAATAAATACGTTCGTGTCATGTGGCCAGAACTCCCACCATTATTACGTGACTCCGTCTGTATTACGTGACCAGTATACCGTGATTCCATTGGTGGGAGTTCTGGTCATATGATACGAACATATTTTTATTATATCATCAAGTAGCTGGCGTTGCCCGTGGATAAAAAAATTTTAAATAAAAAAAATTTTAAATTTCTTTTTTTCAACCTTTACCATGAATGTCCACAAAAACTTCAGTACAATCTGTCCAGCCGTTCGGCCGGCTATACGAAACCAATATATATGAATGTCTTGTTGTAAACTTGTATTATATAGATTATATTTATGAAAAATGAAAAATTATCAAATTAAAATAATAATAGGAGCAAACTTAAGTTTCTTAGGCTCTTCTGAAATATCATGGTTTTCAGATTGGTTGTGTATTTGCTGAAAATAAAGTATAAAAAAGTATAAAATAGCAAACACAAAAAATCTTCATTTAATCGGTGAAATGACATTTAAAGTTAAGGCTCTCTGACTTTTAACCAGGAATAGGTTACGTGAGGAAAGGAAGGGTTATTAGAAATTACGTCTAGATCATAGTCTAGATATATCTAGATCATGGTCTAGATATATCTAGACGTACCATGGTCTAGATATATCTAGATCATGGTCTAGATATATCTAGACGTACCATGGTTTAGATATATCTAGACGTACCATGGTCTAGATATATCTAGATCATGGTCTAAATATATCTAATCTTATAAATGTTTGATATGAATTATTGTTGTAGAGAGGTTTGTGAGACAATCCAGAGAAATGATTGTAGACCAGTCTCCAGGCAGGAGTGTAACCAGGTACAGGGTCAACAAATAAACATGAGAATAAATACAGGGTGGACCAAAATACATAATTATTAAGCCCCCTGCACAAATAAACATCATAATAAATACAGGGTAAACCAATAAATATGAAAATTGATACAAGGTGAACCAATAAACACAAGAATTGATACAGGGCGGGCCAATAAACATGGGAATCAATACAGGGTGGACCAAAAAACTTGAGTATTAATACAGGGTAGACCAAAATACTTAAGTATCAATACAGGGTGGACCAAAAAAATATGAGAGCTAATACAGAGTCAACCAATAAACATTGGAATTAATACATGGTGGATCAATAAATATTGGAATTAATACAGGGTGGATCAATAAACATTGGAATTAATACAGGGTGGACCAATAAACATTGGAATTAATACAGGGTGGATCATTTATTTTTACTCAATTTTTTTTCTTGAAAGGTTCCTGATGAAAGCTGTATTAGCACCCCCCGGCAGCAGTGCAGTACAGTTCCACGTCAACAGTGCAGTACATTACCCAGACAGCAGTGTCGTACTGTACCTAACCAGCAGTGTTCTCCAGTATCTAGACAAGAATGTACATCTGTTCCAAGGGAACAGTGCCAACAGGTTCCTCAACAGCAGTGCAGTACAGTTCCTCAACAACAGTGCAGGTTAAATACATATATAAGAATTAGTTTGTTGAACTGCAGTGCATATATATAGTGATGGGACATAGCTTCGTTCGTTAAAAAAACACTTTAAAAAGTTTTCAGACTTTTAGAGGCTTTCTTAAAAATTTAAGATGTTTTACAAATTAAAAAATAGTTTATTCTAAAAAATACAGAAAATACTTTGTTATTCCTTTTGTGTTTTCTGTGCAAGGGCGAATGCAGGAATGATTTGAAAAAACGTTTTTACTTATCGGGAGTAGGGGACTTTTTTTTCTATACCACCACCTTGTAAAATGTGCAATGTTTATTACTTCGTTATCCTCCTATCAAATGGCAGCAAAATTTTCAATTGGTTTAATTTGATTGGCGAAGAATCTTTAAAGTCACGAGTTCATTTTTTAGTAATGTTCCAAGAGAAGAATGTTCCTCCGTTCCACGACAAGTTTGTGAACAGGTTCCTACGGAACAGTGCTCTAGTGTCCCAAGACAAGAATGCAGACCCGTGGAACGCCAGGTTCCCAGACAGGAATGTTCAACAGTTCCAAAGGAACAGTGCAGCAGTGTTCCCCGCCAGCAGTGTTCCAGTGTTCCAAGACAAAGTTGTATATCAGTTCCAAGAAGGTAAGCTGCTAAATAAGTTTGTATTTCAAAAACGCACTGTTCCATTAAGCCTGTGCTTAGTGCTATTTTTTCTGAATCTATAACTTTGTGTTCCGGAAAGGAAAAAAAGAAGCGCTACTGAAATGTACTGTACTGTACTGTACTACTGAAATGGTTAACTGTACGCTATGGAATATGTTCTTAAATGGTAAACTGTGCAATGTGTTTCTTAAATGGTAAACTGTGCAATGTGTTCCTGAAATGGTAAACTGTGCAATTTGTGCTCCTGAAATGGTAAACTGTGCAATTTGTGTTCCTAAAATGGTAAACTGTGCAATTTGTGTTCCTAAAATGGTAAGCTGTGCAATGTATTCATAATATGGGGAACTGTGCAATGTGTTCCTGAAATTTCAATTCAGATATGTGTTCCTTTAATACTCCAGGGAAAGAAAGTTCAAAACCGTGATACATAAGCACGGTTTTTAACTTGCTTCCCCTGAACCTGTCCTCTTAAAATTTAATCTAACGAATATTTAAGAAGATTTATTGCTGTGAGTATGATGAACAATGAATTGAAGATCATTGTTTAAACTTACTTTACAATCAATTTAGGTTCCCACATTCAAAACATTTTAAAACAATTCCTTTTCCTCTTTCCCCATTATTCCATGTTAAACATTGCATGCACAAAGGATTTTTTCTTTATTTCCACCGGCCAAAACCAAATCTTTTCATAAGTGTTTCTTATTTAAAAATGCAGTTTAACTTCCTATCAAGAAGTTTAGCGTATGCTTGCATACAGTACACGAGACGTTTTATGAAGTACGCTGGCTATCACTTTCTTATAACAGGAAGGGAAAATTCAGTAAGGTAGTAGGTATTAGGTAGTAGGTAGTAGGTAGTAGGTAGTAGATAGTAGGTAGTAGGTAGTAGGTAGTAGGTAGTAGGTAGTAGGTAGTAGGTAGTAGGTAGTAGGTAGTAGGTAGTAGGTAGTAGGTAGTAGGTAGTAGGTAGTAGGTAGTAGGTAGTAGGTAGTAGGTAGTAGGTAGTAGGTAGTAGGTAGTAGGTAGTAGGTAGTAGGTAGTAGGTAGTAGGTAGTAGGTAGTAGGTAGTAGGTAGTAGGTAGTAGGTAGTAGGTAGTAGGTAGTAGGTAGTAGGTAGTAGGTAGTAGGTAGTAGGTAGTAGGTAGTAGGTAGTAGGTAGTAGGTAGTAGGTAGTAGGTAGTAGGTAGTAGGTAGTAGGTAGTAGGTAGTAGGTAGTAGGTAGTAGGTAGTAGGTAGTAGGTAGTAGGNGGGGGGGGGCGTAGTCAGCGTAGAACAGACTCTCTCTTATAATTCCACAGAAAGATCGCCTGTTCTACGCCGACTACGCGTAACTCCTTTGTGCTTCTGTCTCAAGGTTATTTTAATCTATATTAATCTAAAATCAATATTTTTAGAGAAGGGGGTGGGCAGGAACAGAGCAGGGTTAATATATAAATATATTCTAGTGATGGGGGTGTGCAGAAATAGAGAAGGGTTAATATATAAATATATTCTAGTGAAGGGGGTGGGCAGGAAGAGAGCAGGGTTAATATATAAATATATTATAGTGATGGGGGTGGGCAGAAATAGAGATTGGTTGATATATAAATATATTCTAGTGAAGGGAGTGGGCAGGAAGAGAGCAGGGTTAATATACAAATATATTCTAGAGAAGGGAGTAATATACCAAGAAGCAGGGTTAATCAATAAATATATTCTAGAGAAGGGAGTGGGGAGGAAGAGAGCAGGGTTAATATATAAATATATTCTAGTGAAGGGAGTGGGCAGAAAGAGAGCAGGGTTAATATATAAATATATTCTAGAGAAGGGAGTGGGCAGGAAGAGAGCAGGGTTAATATATAAATATATTCTAGTGAAGGGAGTGGGCAGGATTGTAAGCAAGTCCCAAGACAGCAAGAGACTCAGCAATGCAGGAATATACCAAGACAACAGTGTTCTCAATCAGCAAGGTAATGTAGATAATTATAGAAAATTAAATGAATTGAAAAAATTAAATTGAAATGACCATCCCTTTAAAAAATGAGACATATTCGATTAACAACGGTAATCTGATTAATAATGTGGAAGATGGGGTTGTTTTTATTTGATAAAAAGATTTTTAATTCTTTTCCTTCATTGTTATTGAAGCAGAAATTCTTATATCATTGCTAGAAATACCACATTAGGCCGTTGTTAATTGGGCATGCCATTTTATAAATGGAGATTATCTTTAAATTACGTCAATATACTTTTTTTACGACACACATATGCTTATATATATTTATATATATAATTCTTTACCACACACAGATACTTATTCTTTAACCCCTTGTCTGGGTTCCATGTTAACCTTTTTGTTTATTACACTGCAATCTAATACGGCATAAATAATTTTGCAAACCACAGAGCTGAATATAGGGATAAATTCACATACTGTAGTATGATTATTAAGTTTAGTCATATAGAGAAACACAATATATGAGAATTGACACACATTTCAAGCTTCTTTAAAATTAAGAGAAGTTAAGTCTATTTTCTATCCAAAAATGAAAAAGAACAGATTGTTTTAATAGATGATGATTGTCTGATGCTTTTTAAAAATCTATTAGAATTAAATTTGAAATTGTAACCTACCTCTTACAATTTCACAATCTTGGGAAGAATCCACATCCTTTTTTTATCAAATTACATTTTTTTGATTACTTGTTTTTAAACTATTGCATTCCAACAATTACTAGTCATATACACCAAACTGGCCCAATAAAAAAAAATAATTTACATGGACAATAGTTATAATATTGAATGACCTTGAACTTGGCTTGTACGGTTCACAACGATACCCATTAATCTTTTGCCTTAATATCCTAATTTTCTCCTTCAGTTGAAGTTTGCAACTAAAGTTTTTTTTACCAATGGAAACTGTATATAGGGCGATAATTTATAATTTCTAGCTTGTAAACTGTAAAGAGCTAGGGTTGAGTGAAGGTTACATATTCTGTCTCTTTCTAAACATCTTCATATCTCATACAGAAAACGTTTAATCATTCAAACCTTGGCCATGTATGCCCAACCCAGGAGCTGGTTGTCAGGAATCATCATGAGTTGAAAATCTTTGAGTAATAAGTATAATTTTTGTGCATTACACCTGCAATGTGTATCCTTACATAGAAATAAACCATGATATATAAAGATAGGCCTAGAAACTGTAGATGTTGTTTTGGTTGGTATTTGGTTTCTTTTTGAGTTTAAAGTGTGAAGACATTGGGAAAAGTAGTGTCTCTTTTTATTTTAAAAACACATTAACCGACTTTTATTTCAGTCCTCAGTGTAAGAGTGTACCAAGAGAGAAGTGCCAGCCTGAATGTCGCCCAGTTTATTGGTGCAAGAAGTGTGGAGGATCCTCGGGTTCTAGTAGTTCTTCTCCAGGTTCTTCAGGTGGTTACTCTGGAGGCTCTTCAAGCTCACTTGCAGGAGCATCCAGTCCAGGAGTGTCTTATTCCAGTCCAACTTCAGTGGTATCAACAAACTATGGCTCACCTTCACAAGGCTCTAGTTCATCTGTATCAAACAGCTATTCCTCTCCAGGTGGATCAAGTAGTAGCGGAGATTTATATGGTTCACCAGCATCAGCTCCTGTAAGTAACTCAGGATTTAGCTCTTCACTAACATCAGCTACAAGTGGAAGCTCAGACTCTTATGGCTCACCAGCATCAGCTCCTATTAGCAGCTCTGGATTTATTACTGCAGCATCTACAGCTACAAGTGGAAGCTCAGACTCTTATGGCTCACCAGCATCAGCTCCTGTAAGCAGCTCTGGATTTAACTCTCCATCATCTACAGCTACAAGTGGAAGCTCAGACTCTTATGGCTCACCAGCATCAGCTCCTATTAGCAGCTCTGGATATAACTCTGCAGCATCAACAGCTACAAGTGGAAGCTCAGACTCTTTTGGCTTACCAGCATCAGCTCCATTAAGCAGCTCTGGATTTAGCTCTGCAGCATCAGCAGTTACAAGTGGAAGTTCAGATTCTTATGGTTCACCTGCTTCTGCCCCTGTAAGTAGTTCAGGATTGAGTTCCCAATCATCCTTCTCCTCAAGTTCAAACAGTGGATCAGACTCATATGGTACTCCTGCTTCTAATCCACTAGGTAGCAGCTCATTTGGTGGTAGTTCTAGCTTGGCTGTGTCTTTAAACATTGGATCTGACTCCTATGGTATCCCAGTTTCTGCCCCTGTAAGCTCTGGATATAGCTCACCAGTTGGATCAAATTCAGAAAACAGCTTCACAGTTGGTTCTCCAGTTTCTAGTGGAAGATCCAATACATTGGGCTCCTCTGTATCTACCTCTGGTAATAGTGGTTCATCAGGGAGCTCTTCAGATTCTTATGGAACCCCTGTGTCTAATCCTTTGTCTAGTAGCTCAGCTAGCAGCTCAGCTTCAAATGATGCATCTAATTCTTTTAGTAAGGCTGGATCTGAATCTGTAAGCAGTAGTGTACAAGGTAGTTCATCTGAATCCTATGGTTCTCCTGTATCTGCTCCGGTAAGCAGTAACTTATTTGAGAGTTCATTACCAAGTGGAGCACCTAGCAGCTCATCTGACTCATATGGCACCCCAGTATCATCTCCTGTCGATAGTTCTACATTTGACAGCTCATTGCCAAATGACATTTCAAGCAGCTCTTCTGACTCATATGGCACCCCTTCAGGTGCACCTAGTGGAAGTGATACTTTTGGAGTATCATCAGGATCAGTTGCATCTAGCAGTAACACTGATTCTTATGGTTCCCCAGCTTCCCCTGCTGTCAGCTCATTCGAAAGTGCTTCAGGAATTATTGAGTCTAACAGCGCATCAGATTCTTATGGTATTCCAGCACTTGCACCAGTAATCAGTAACAGTTTTGGAGTAGACGCGGTGGCTTCCGGTAGTGACTCAGACTTCTATGGTACTCCAGCTTCTCCTGCTGTCAACTCATTTGAAAGTGCTTTAGGAGTTATTGAGTCTGATAGTGCATCAGATTCCTATGGTAACCCAGCACTTGCACCTGTAAGTGAAACTAGTTTTGGAGTAGAAGCAATTGATTCCAGTACTGACTCAGATTCCTATGGTACTCCAGCTTCTCCTGCTGTCAGCTCATTTGAAAGTGCTTCAGGAGTTATTGAGTCTAACTCTGCATCAGATTCATATGGTACCTTAGCACTAACACCTGTAAGTGATAACACGTTGGGAACTTCTGATAGCAACTCTGACTCTTATGGAACACCTCAATCTTCACCCGTGAGCACTAAAGTTGACTCAAATGGCACTCCTTCCTCTTCTCCTGCAGAATCAGTTCAGAGTAATTCAGAATCTTATGGTTCACCTGCTTCCAATCCAATCAGCTCATCAGTATCTCAAGCTGAAATTTTAGAGGAGGCAGAGGACTCTTACAGTTCTTCTGTGGCTTTGAAAGATGATTTAAAATCTGGTGGTAACAATGATGAATACGGATTACCAATAATTGACAATTCAGTATCAGTGGATTTAAGAGATGACCTTGTGCGTGAATCAGTTCCTGATCTTAACCGTGAGGCATCAGATTCTTATGGAATAAATGAAGCATCAGAGGATGATTTCCTCCCAGCAGTATATCAACCTCAGGCCAACATTCCAGTAAATGACTACTACAGCTCATCTGAACCAGATTTAGACGATCTGCCTACTCTGTATAGATCACAGGCTGTGTCAGATATCTCAGCAGAATCATATGGAAGCCCACAGGCAGAAGTTGGCAGTCTGATTGATCTTAGAACTACCAATGAGGAGGCATCGGAGCTCTATGGAATTCCTTTGGACGATGCAGACTCCATAGAGGCTCTGTACGGCGCACCATCTTCAGAATCTCAGTCTACAATATTCATTGATATAGCTAGTCCTGTAGATACATATGGAGGAGGTGAGATTGAAAATGACGTTGGACCAGATCTAACCAGTTTAGATATTTCAAGCTTATACAATTCTCCTGTAGGGTCTGACGAGCAGGCCTCTTATAATTCTGTCAACCAGGAATGATATTAAGTACAATTAAAAGTATAATATGAATATCTTTAAGCAAACAGAGGGCATTAAGAAACATTTAAGCAAAAGTAATCAATACTTAATTATGCATAAAATTTAGTTTATTCGACGCAAAAGAAAATTGTTTCCTGTAACAGAAGATCTTGATCTACAGGCAGTGCCTTCTTTCAGGTAACTATTCAAACCTTAAACCTTCAAATCTGTCTAAAAAAGTGACCACACTCTAGGGTTTATTAGTGTCCCAGCAAAGATAGCGTAAAGTCTTCTTTCTTTGGTAATGAATTAACCATATATGTTCACATCAAACACACCCCCTCCTCTCTGTATTTAAATGATTTTTTTTATGTGCAATGACATGTGGAAAATCAACTGTAAACTCCTGGGAAATGTAAATAGAAGAAGACAAGTAGAGTTAACCAAGGGCAAAATAACAATACACACACACACACAGATTTTTATTTCGTCTTTTCATGTGGCAACATCGTTCAGAGAGAATAATGGAAATATATAAACTTTAACTGATAATATGAATAAAAATCTACATATAAGTTTTCTATTTGTTTTTTATATTTCTGCCTGTTTGTTTAGCTTACCGATGTACACCGAAGCACCGGGAGTTGATGCAACTTTTGCGGATTACGGTTCCTCAGGTAAAAATTTATTTTATTAAAGGGACTGTTCACCTTATTTTTATTAACCTTCCATTTAAAGAGTTTCATGCACGATACACGGTTATGCTCTTCATTTATCTTAAAAAGAGATACTTTCTACCTTGCTAAAATCCACTATTAATTATACCTAGAACAATTAATTGAAAATTACCCATTTTCTAACAGAAAACCAAAGATATCTTCATAATTCATATAGGCGAAAAGGTTTCCATATTGAATCTGACATGTGAATTTTTAAATAAAGTTCTACTGAAAATTACGTTGATAATTTTATTCTTTTTATTTAATTTTCCATAATGAGCTAAATCTATTTTTTAGATGAATAAGTGAAACCCTGAATCTCTCCTGCAGCTGAAGTATAAAACTACAATATATATTTATAATATTTATACTATTTATTTTATTTATGCTATTTATGTAATTTATTAATGTTATTCTATAAAGCAGTGTAATTTCTAAAAAAAAAGATAGGTTCTGTTGTGAGTACAAGCATACCTTATGTTATAAAGGCTGCCTACTTTTAATATCTATAAAATATTTTGTTTCTTTCTAAAATTGAGATTCCCACTTTAAACGACGAATACTAAAACAAATCTAACTATTCTTATTTTCTAAAACTTGTATACTGTATCGTATTCGTTATATTTTATTATCAACTTAAAGGGACTGTAAACGTAAAGGCAGTTTCCAGGCACTAAATTTCCAGCAAGAAAAATAAGAATATCTACAATTAATCCTTGATTCGACAACAGTTTAAGGGTTCTTTCCTAAATTGGACACGCTACTCTATTAATAGAGAGTCATTTAAAATTACGTATCAGTCCCTTTAAAGGTGTTCTTGTGAAATCTCTGTTTTCAGTAATTTAATTATTATCAGATTTTGCCCACTTTTTCAAGTGCCATTGTTTATCCATCCAATTATTGAGCTTTAAAATGTATGGGGATAAAATTTAAAAGTTTTAAAATTCTCGTCAAGGGTAAAAAAAAGTTTTTTATTACTGACCGTAACTTTTTTAAATATTACCTCTAATTCTATGATTTTATTGTATAACACATTTAAATTTGTTCTTTTAAAGCTTTAAAATTCAGCGTTTTCTGTTAAAAGATGTATGTGCATTTTACACCCTGGCTTTTTATTTTTTATTATAATACTTTTCTTAAAACAAAATTCGTTTAATATTTATCCTCCGGCAATTTAAAGATAACCGAGGGTTTAATTTGATAAACAGTCTCGCATGCCGTGCAGTTTATCTTATTAGACGGCCCAGCATTCATCTCAGACTTCCTTAAACGGAAGAGGATGAAATCAATCAATTCAGTAAATTCAGTTAGAAGGATGTTCATGTTTATTTACTACACTAGTCGAGCTGTTTCTTGTTACCTAAGCCTTAATTATTAAAACAGTTTTTTTGTTAATTTTATAGTTTACACTAAATAAATGTTATTTTCCTTGTTGTAAAATCCTAAGTTAAAAAAAAATTCTATCCGTGTAACTGTAAAGTTCTCCAAATGATAAAGATTGAAAGCAATGGTAAACACTTATTGATGTGTTTTAATGTATCACTCTTGGAAAAAAGCATTCAAAATTCTGGAATCATTAGTTGTGTGAGCATTTGAAAGGAAGCCGGCATTTAAGAGGTTTGTTTGAGTGCTTTCCCGTCAAAAGAATTAATTAATAATTAAACTACATGTTTTGGTTTTGCTTTCAACTTAAATTGTGGAAAAAATGGTTTAAGAATGAGATGGAAAGTATTGTGTAGGAGGGTGGGGGGGAATGAATGCACTACACATGAACTGAAAAAATAGTAAAACTAAAGCAAATGGGCCGATAGAGAGAGAGAGATGCATATTAAATGCTTCAAGCTAAGATGTATAAAATTATAAATTGACCCAAATTTAAGAGATCAGTAACATATGCTGTTATAATATCTATCTATCTATCTATCTATCTATCTATCTATCTATCTATCTATATATCTATCTATCTATCCGTCTGTCTGACTATCTATCTATCTATCTATGTATCTATCTATCTTTCTATCTCTCTGTCTACCTATCTATCTTTCTATATCTATCTATCTATCTAACTTTCTGTCTGTCTAAATTTAAGCTAAAATTACTATTTTAAAAGCTGTACTAAAGAAGTTTATTTTGATTAAATCTATGGAACTATGCGCGTATAGAGCCTATACCTCTTTGTGTTATTAAATTAATGTTAGGGTTAAAATTACTTTGTATAGCCCCTCACACTATGAGTTCAATTTAGATGTAGGTTCAACCATATATATAATAACATCATCATATTGCAAACTATTATGTTGGATTCTTGCCCTCTTGAACTTGTTCTCTGAAAGGGAGCATCAGAAGTAATTTCAAGTATCCTTCATTTACATAGTGGAATGTCTCATTCACAACGGTAAACTTTAAACCTTTGTCTTATCATGAATGAGTGAGATATTCTTATTTATTTTACTGAAAATTTATTATTTTTATTTGTGGTTTCTCTTTGAAATTGACTGCATATGTAAATCGTACATGCCACTCTTTAAATAAAGAGTTACTTGAAATAACCACGATAATTATTGTTTTTAAGCAATAAGTGGATTTAAAAAAAAATTAGAATACATAAAGAAAATTTTTTTTTTTCGTGTAAAATGCCAAATATGGACATACAATAATATTGGACACATTATTAAAGGGGTTGTAGTATGTATAGTCGTAAATTTCAATTGACAATTGATTAAAGGAGGAGGGGGGGGGGGAATCAGGACCGTATTTAAAAGGAAGGTCATTTAAAAAGACGACAACAGTCCCTTCTTTCTTTCTATTTGTTCTCAAAACTTTAATGACATGACTAATTAGCTCTCAAATATCAAACTTCCGTAGTGTCGGAATGGGGTTAGTCAGGGTAGGCATTTAAAGCCAGACATATTCAAATTATCAGCACATCCCAATTTCCGCTCATCAAAGTTCAAACTTTAAACACGAAATCAAATAAATATCTTTGAGAGCTAGAGTACAAATACACAAATTATTAACATATCTTTTCCAATTAAGGGGCGTTATTCGCTGAATATGTAAAAATTAAACAAGGTTTAGGATCTGGATGTCACCCTTTTTAACATCAACATTTTAAATTTTTATTTATTTTAACAGTTGCAAAGCATGCAATGTTGTGTTCTTCTTTTCTCTTTTTTTTAATTGATTTAATTTTTTTTAAATAACTATTTTTTTTAAATTGCCGGAAAGAATGAAAATAATGATGACATATTGTTATATGATTTGTAGTCTGTACCCAATATTTAAAAAATACAAAAATAAAAGAAACATAAATAATAAATAAAAAATAAATGATTTTCGACTTTTTTAATCATCAACCGGTTTCAGAATTACCTGTAAAAGATTAAGGGCTTAAATTATGAAAGTCTATTCAAGGATGATTGCGCTTGGTTATGATTCATTAAAAATCAATTCACACTAAACCCACCGAGTAAATGAAAGAATTGAAGACAGGTTTCTAATTTTTGTTATCTGTATAGCACCATGGGCACAATGTTTTAGAATGCTAGCAATGAACTTTCATAGTGCAGAACAAATAAAATATAAGAATATGAAGACGACTTAAAAGTCCAGTAACATGAAACACAGCAATCAGAACCATTTTACCGAAATTAAAATACAAAAAATCCCCAAAATTTAACAATTTTTTACGAAAAGATTAGGTATCTTTTTCAAAAGTATACAGCTATATAGATACATCTTTACTGTTGAAATCATATGCTTGTTATTGTAAATACAATGACTGGTCTCTTTGGAGGATTGTATTTCCAATCAACGATAGCAGGCGTTAAACCTTAGAGCTGTATTTTAGCTAGAGAAATAACTAAACCTTTTTGTTTTATTGTTTTATCAAATAAGTAGATAAACAATAAAAACTACTGCACTTTAATGAATTGAATATTGCATACCTTTAATTGTTAGAACAAAAACGTATATTTTGTCTCTCAGAGTATTAAACTTTATTTGAGATATATTTGTTCTTGCTCTAGATATTTACCACTCTAAGCGTGTAACCAAATCTATGGCAAGTAAACCAAGTTGCAAGATATAATCGTTTCATTGGGTTTCAACTGTTCAAGGCAGTAAACCACTGTGTAAAATATAAACTATACACACGCTGGAGCTTTAGTTCTGTTTACAGTGCTTACCAGTAAACCACTGTGTAAAATATAAACTATACACACGCTGGAGATTTAGTTCTGTTTACAGTGCTTACCAGTAAACCACTGTGTAAAATATAAACTATACACACGCTGGAGCTTTAGTTCAGTTTACAGTGCTTACCAGTAAACCACTGTGTAAAATATAAACTATACACACGCTGGAGCTTTAGTTCTGTTTACAGTGCTTACCAGATAAAGTAAAACAATTGTCGTCAATGTAATCACTTTTGATTTGAATATGTCGCTAATGTGTTCGCAGTTTGTGAGTGACAGTTGTTAAAACTAATGTACAGGATCACCCACAAAACTAAAACTCTGTAAATATAACGACCTGATGAAGATTAATTGGAGTTCTACCTTGAGTATAGTAAAGTAAGGACAAAATAAATAATTTTTGCGAAGAAAGAAGATTAAAATTTACAAGTGCAGGGAAAGAACGTAAAATCAAAAAAAAAAGACTTTAATAAATTAGGTTCAGTCGTCTCTAAAGTCTTAGTCTGAAGTAGCTAAAGATTGTTTAGGCATATTTTTGATGACTAAAGAGTTTCAAAATTTCAAAATGATTTGTTATTTGACATTTGATAAAGTCACTTATTTCACGCTAGTACAGCATTGGGCCGGGGCCCGGGAGTATATCATTTGAAAACTATGTTGAAAATTATAAATTTACTATATTTTAAAATATTAATATAAAAAAATATATTTTTTAAATGTACAATTTCGCTTAAATGAATCGCATCAATGTGAACTTAAACTGCAATATCTTGCAACATATTTCAATAATATCTGCATATATTTAACTTGTAGTTCAGTTAATGTCGATGATTACAGAACAACGAAAAAGGTTGATTCGAGGAATATGAAATTATCTTCCTACATCATCCATGCATAACCTACATAAGTCCCCCAAGAAAGAGTTGCCTATGGCAATTGGATATATGAATTTTATTGGCAAATACAGGGTTACTCACAAAGGATAAGACTTTAGATACGACTGTACGGAAATTAATCAGACAATAGTAATACATTTAAAGTTCCGAGCATGAGCTACACACTTGTTTTATTTTTGCCGGATCTTTAAATATACATTTTAAAAATCAAGTCAAAATTAAACTTTTAAATCGTCATATATGTATCTAAAGAGTTTCAATTCGTCATTAAAGTGTCCTCCGCGGATAGCATGTTTACAAAAAAATATCGGACAACTTAAAGATATGTTCCGTAGACCTATCATAATGCTCAGATCTGAGACTATAGTTGTCTGGTATAGGTATGACACACGCGCCCTCCCCCCCCCTCACCCAACCATTTCCGGCCCAACTCATTTTATCCTTGTATGGATTATACTAGGAGTCCCAGAAAAATATTTCCAGACAGTTTACTAAACAAAGTACAAACACTGCTTGCGTATTTTCACAGTGTGGAAAAAAAGGACAAATACTGTTGCGTATTTTTGACAATGCGTAAACAAAGTACAAGTACTGGTTGCGTATTTTTGACAGTGCGTAAATAAAAGTACAAATACTGGTTGCGTATTTTTGACAGTGTGGACTAAAGGACAAACACTGTTGCGTGTTTTTTACAGTGCGTAAACAGTTCAAATACTGGTTGTGCATTTTTGACAGTGCGTAAACAAAGTACAAATATGGTTGCGTCTTTTTGAGAATTCATAAACAAAATACTAATAATGGTGTCTTATTTTTGATATTTTCCGAGATTTCTAAGAATTCCAAGATTTGATCGTTACAACCCGATTATGTCCTTGGGACAAAAAAATCTTTTACCATTTTTTTTGACAGTGCGTAAACAAATTACAAAGGCTGGTTGCGTATTTTTGACAGTGCGGAAATAAAGTACAAATACTGGTCCCGTATTTTTTACAGTGTGTAAAGTTTTCAATAAATGCGCTTGCTTTGTTTAAACTTCGTTATATGTTCCTAAAAAAGGCAAGAAGGCAGCAACCACTGTTTTTAAAACCATTTTCCTTGATTTGTAAAGGAACTTTTAATTCGATCAACATCATTTAAATTTTGACACTTGGATAAAACAGAATTTATAGTTTAACACAAAAAGGTTTCAAACATCAGGTTGTAAAGGATTGGGGTTTGCGGCGAGTGTTTAATTTCTTTAATTTTGAAAATCAACAAAAATTTCTGGTACACACTGTAAAGTATATAGATGCTTATATATACAGTATACAGTATAAACATTATACCAGGATATTCAAATTACAACTCT